ATTCTTTAATAGTTTGGGTTTATTAGTAATAAATATCTTATTTACCCACTTTACGCGTATCTATTCTCTACATATTAGTAATAAATTCTTTCGCGTGTGTTTATTAATTTGTAAACTTCTTTATACGAAGTTTCTTTCGTTTTCTAATACTGTAATATCGTAGTATTAATTAAAAATTATGCATTTGATTGGTTAATTATCACGGGAAATCACGGGAAGGTCTACAAAAATCAACCAAACATATAAATGTCTTCCTATGATGGAGGTGACGCGAGTGAAGATTTTTTAGACGAGTCAATTCGCTAATTCAACCGGAATTGTTTACTTTTCTATATAGAATAAAAATAATACAAGTTTTATCGAATTTAGTTTGGTTGTTTTCGTGATATCGCTAGTGCTATTTTTAGATGCTAGAAATAGCTGGACACTCTAATCTGGCGGGGTTAACCCGATTAGAACTTTACGAATCCACCTACAACATGCATATTCATGCTTTCCGAATCCCACATTCCCAAAAACTTCCATAAAAACTTTAACCCGTTAGCGAAGTGATGAGTCGCTGATAAAAAAATAAGACTTAAATAATGTCAAATTCTTCAAATTCGCTGAATTGACATCCACAAATTTGAACAGTTAATCTTAAATATTTAGATTAATGAATATTCTTTAGAGAAGCTGTGGAGAAGTAAAAGCGAAGTCAACTATTGAAAATGATGCTCAGGCAAATATATTATAATTTTTTCCGGGTCATACCTAAGATAAAAAAAGGCAAATTTTTTTAATAAATTTTTTTTACAAAAAAAAAAAAAGACTGATTGCTGTATCACAAAAAGTTAGTCGATGATATGAGAATTTGATTATATAAGATTTGTGTGGCCTAATTATGCAATTTTCCTAATAACATGTATTTGTGGAGGATTGACTACGTATTAAAAAAAATGTAATTAAATTAAATTAGAATAAGAAATAAAAGAAAGAAAAAAAGGTTAATAAAATTAAAAATTTTATACAAACGTTTAAAAAGATCAGCCTACGTAGTATATAATTTATTATATTATCAATAACCTTAATAAGTCATTTCAAATGATCTTAATAAGTCATATTTGGTTATTTCATACCGAAAATACTAAAGAGGATAATACCGTAGAACCGAAGCGGACTTTTCCCGATAACTATACACTGTTAGTTCAATTTCCTCTGATTATTAATACTTTTATATTTTTCTATTGTAGCACCTGACTTATCAAATAATACGTAATAATAATTAAATTCATAAAACTATTATGTTTTTGGCCTTTTGCACATGAATAGGTCATATGCTTGATCAGCCGACCAAGCAGCTTCTAAACGGATCTAATAGATTGTAAAGTTCGCGATAACACTTAAAAAACAAAGGATATAATTCAAGAATGAATAGTTGTTTTAGATAATTTGGACATGAAACAAAATATTCCGAAACTTTTAATTATCGAAGATGGACAAATTTTGAAAAATTGTTTTTTCGGTAATTAAATGAACATCTTAAGAAAAAAAAAAATCGTATATTGCTAACATCTCGATCATTTTCGATGATTTCGTTCCATGATCTGCAATAATAAAATCAAATTTTGCGACCGCAAACGATCATGTAACATTGATAATTCGTAAATGACAGATCCATTTTATTATCATTCGTTTTAAGACCAAATAATCGGAAAATAGTTAGCAATTAATTAAATATTAGCGTTATATGATAGCACATTCAACCATCTCACAATATCGATATTTCAACGAAATGAATGATAATTTAATGATAATTTTAAGGTCAAACGAAAGCTAGAACTCATGGAAGTCATTTGAGCTCAAAATCATTGGAAACAGATCAGTCGTTATTAAAATGGCAGCTTTTAAAAAGTCATCGTTGTTAGACTAATATATATTTTTTATTTTCTTTATTATATAACATTTTATAGCAGTTTATTTAATGTTAAGTCCAAATTTATCTGGCAAGTCATAAAATATACGCATTTGTATAAATTATGTGATGTAATAAAGTAATGTGATGTGGTTATAGCTAATTTCTATTGTATAACTGTTGTTGCTGTTGTCGCTGGAGATAACATATATCTATTTTTAACGATAAAAGTAAACAATGCAACGAAAGATAAACCAAAATAGATAAAGTATCGTCGAATACTGACTATTTAATGCAATGAAAGTCATCCACCCAGTGGACTTATACTAAAAAGTTCGAAAAAAAAAAAAATTATAGCAAATAAATTAAAGTTTAATTTCGAATAGAAATCTGTATCGTGAAATTTAAAGTTAAGATCATCGAAGGCCGGTAAAGGTTGTGACATTCGGATTTGATAACTATTTATAGGTGATATTCAGGCATATGCTGTGTCAAAGAAAACGGCTATATAATCCATGGAATTCGCTTCGCAAAAATTTAGAATTTGAAAAACTTTTCAATTATTAATTCATAAATAACAACTTTTAATCATTAAGAAAGAAGTCATACCCATAAAAATCATAATAATATTTAAATATAAAATGGATACAAAAATGTCTGTTGCCGAATTTTCCCTTGATGGCTTGGCTGATTCCTTAATCTGTCAACTTGACCGTTCAAGAATCTTTCCCCCTTATCATAACGATGCTGAAGAATATGTTATAGCAGCACATTCAAAAAATAAAATACCGAAAAGGTCCCCAAATGCATTTCTTCTTTGCCGTAAAAATGTTCATAAAGAAGCGAAACGACTTGGCGTTTCCAATATGCGAGTAATAAGTAAAGTAACTGGTATTCTTTGGCGCGAATCAACTGTTGAAGAAAAAGAAGTTTATGAAGATCTTTCAGTAAGTAAAAAAAAAAATTTTTATTATTTCAAGTAATTATTCAAAGTAATATTTTTTTTTAACGAACTTTTTAGTATAAGTTCAGCATTAAAATAGTCAATGCTTGATGATGCATCATCTATTTTGGCTTATTTTTCGTTGCATTGTTCGTGATAAATGATACTGTATTTTTAATTATAATTATAATTATAATATATACTTTTATCGTTATAAATAGATATTTTATACATATCATGTTGTCTCCAGCGACAACAGTTATACAATAAAAATTAACTATAATTACATCATATTACTGTATTACAGTATTACATCACTTTATTTATACAAATGAGTGCTGCCATGGAAAACCTGGGATTGTTGGTTTTCCGAAATTTCATTTCCAGAAAAATCTTGTAAAAATTTGATATTGTCTGTTTCTAAAAGAGGAGTTTCCGAAAATTAAGAACTCAGGTTTTCCTTGTCAGCACTCAAATGCGAGAAAGTATATTCGGGACTGGTTAATAATTTTGCGCTTAACATTACTATAAATATTATACAGTATTAGTGATGTTGTTGTATTGAGGTAACTAAGTAGCTATTTTTTTGTAGTATTGACGTAGTAATTGCGGTAGTACTAAAATACTGCATCGTAACAGGTAACAAGGAAATAAAACTTCATACGTACGTACATACATACCAGATACGTAATTTATTTATTACTTGGCTTATTATTCATGTTGTAATAACGAAATAAACTTCATATGTATTGTTATTGATATGACCTCTGAGTTTTTAGTTAATAATGAAAAAATTAATAATACGTCATTAATAATATTAATAGTTAATAACTTCGATAATAGCTAATAATATCGATGTCTGATATGATAAATTAATAAATGTTTAGTCCACAAATATCTGAGCAATTATTTGAGAAAATATTGACGCAACTTTTCGTTTTTAAACATCCTGTACTAATCATATATTATTAAGTCGTTATTAGTTAATAATTCGTTCAATCAATTAATCATTATTAATTATTATTACATTTTTTCTCAACAAAAATAATGAATATTTAAATAAATATAATTTGGGAATTGCTTAGTTTTTTTACAGTAATTAATAAATATACAGTATATTGTGAGTTTTATTACTTTAATATACAAATACATACGAGATAATATTACATTCTGCACTACGTATAACATAAAACCGTTTTATGAAATATACGACCTACGGCACACTACAGCATATATTACATTAAACAATAATACGGCAGGTATTATTACATGCTGTGACGTATTCTGGGTTGTAATTTTTGAATACATTCACACCGCTACAATAATGAATTTTTAAAAGTTGACATTTAAAAAAAAAACGACTGATTCGTCTTCGTCTATTTGGGCTCAAATGACTGCTATGAAGCCCTAGCTTTCGTTTGAACCTAAGATTATCATTGTTTTCATTGAAATATCGGTACTATGAGATGATTGTATGTGCTGTCGTATAGTTTTTAATATCTCATTAACTATATGAGTGACGCCAAGTGAAAATGGGACATTGGTTTATAGTTGATTATTTAATAATAAATGATAAACCAAGCGTCACTCATAATAAAAGTGTGTAGTATACTGTAGATCTATTTAATACTATAAATTTAAAAATATATTATAAAAAGTGTTACTACTTCACATGGTTTTATTAACTATATAGCAGTATATCAATTGTGAGTGTACAAAATACAAAAAAGATAAAAAATTGTATTAAATTAAGAGAATTAAATAAAATATTGCAAAAAGTAAATAAAATAAAAAAAAATACTAGCGTAATTGTAAAACTAAATAAAGGTAGAGATTAAATAGATATATATACAGTATACTGTATATAACAAGATTAATTTATAGTCTCATTTAGATATCGGCGGATAGAAAAACCCATAAGCCGTAACTCTGGTCAAATTTGCAGATCATTTGACCAGGTTTGAAATAATTTGACTTCAAAGCTGGCCAAATGATCTGCAAATTTGACTAGAGTTACGGCTCATGGGTTTTTCTATTTATCAAATCTGCCGATATATTTAATATTGTAATATAATAGTAATACTTTTACTAAAACGCATCTATGGTGTTTTACTACCTAGGTCCCTATTTCTCAAAAACGTACTAAGTAAACGGGATCGGATACTCTAAGTAAAATGTTCAGGACCCCCAAAAACCTCACGAAAACTAAGATCGGGCCTTATATTAGTTCTATATATTATATATATATAAAAAAAATAATTCTTAATACCCGACCCTAACCCTATATTTTATTAAATACAATTATATATGGTGCTAAAACACCATAGGTGCGTTTTATAATAATTGTAATAGTAATATATAGTTATTGTATAATATATTTTAGTTTATAAATAAAAAATATAGATAAAGTAAATGCAGGTATTTTGACAAAGTTAACACTGCATACTAATAAAAGTTTGCAAAAAACTTAAATTTTTTGAACTATAAAAATTTTAATGTGCTTCACAATATAGAATAAAAAAAACAAGTTTTGTATAAATTATATATTGATCTTTTACAACAATAATTACATACTCTTAGAAGGTATTTTGACAAACAATAATCATTAATATTTATTAATATTAATATATATTAATATATATTATCTCTCTTGATATATATTTATTAAGTATACTATATAGTTACTATATTAAAACTGTTTAAAAAAAAAAAACTTAATTAGCTCTATTTTTTTCTTTAGTTTTTTTTTTTTGTATCTTTTTTTTTTCTTTTTAGCTTTTTTTTTCTGCTTTTTCTAACTTATATATTACTTTTTTTAAACTGCAACTTTTTTTTTTTATATTTTTAGTTTTGGATTTAGCAGCTTTTTTTGCAGTCTTTAACTTTTGTAAAAAATCTTTATTAGTAAAAAAGCAAATAAAAAGTATTGTTTTACTTTTTTTATAGGTCAGGTTTGAGATTTAACTGCTTTACAAGTTTCTTGTTTATTGGTTTGTAATAAAAGCCAAAAAGTAGAATATTTAAGTGCTATTTTCAAAAAACAAATATTAAGACTTTTAAAAGTTTTTAGTTTTTTACTTATTAATTTATAATTTTTCTTAATTAATTCTTTCTTTTTTTTTTAATAATTTAACTTTTTTTTTAAGAGATATAATGCCTACTTTTAATATCTTTATTTCTTTGATAATAATAGTTTTAGTAAAGTATTTATAAATAGATTAAGAAGAGAAAAATACAATTTTTAAAGACAATAGTTTTTCTTTGGATAGTTGAATAATTTAAGACAAAAATTTATATTTTATTACTAATAAAGAAGCAAGTTGTTTAGAGCTAATAGTATTAGAGTTTAAAAACCAAGTTTCTATATCTCTGTAAATATTAATAATTGTTTCAAAAATATAAATTGTATCAAATACTAGTTTAAAAATTTTAGCAAATATATACTTGGTTGCTATTTTTTTCTTAATATTATGTAATTTATTACAATCTTCATTATACTCTTTTTTAAGTTTTGCAAAAAGGATTTTAAATAGTTAAAGAATATATAATATATATAAAAAAAATATATAAAATAGAATTCTATTTTTATAACAAAATTTAACAATTGTATAAAGCTACACAAAATTATATACTTGGTTTTTATATTATGGAACAAATATCAGAATATGAATATATAGCTTTTTTTTTTTATAGTAAAAAATTTTTTTTAAATAATGCTAAAAAAAAGCTTATTAAAGCTCATTATCCCATGATCCAAAATATCTGATATGAACTTTTACATTGTTTATTAACAATATTGAATCCTGCTTTTACAAAATATGATGGTAACTTATATCTATACTAGTATTGCTTGCTGCAAATATTACTTGTAACTTTTTTATAGTATAGTAAAGGTTGTAACACTTGTGATTTTTCAAGTATAAAACTTAATAATAGATTGCAAAATATAAATATAATATTATAAAATTATAATAAAATATGAAATAATTTATTTACCACCTAGGTAAATTATTCACCTCTTTTATCAATTTTTTAAAAAAATAATCGAATCTAAGATGTTAGCAGGTTAGAGTTGTCTATTATATGTAAAATTATATAAAGAATCTTTTTTGCTAGAATTTAAAAGGTGGTTTTATAAGCAAAATAGTGAAATATTAGCAATTTTTAAAAAAATTGTCTTTGTTTTGTTATACAAAGATGATTTATATATTATATGCATTACACCTAATCTTGCACATTTATTGGATAATCTTAGGAGGGTGAGTAATATCAAATCTCACTCTAGATGAGGAATAAATGTACTTATAAAATATAATATTTTATAAAATAAACTAGATGTTTGAGTTGTTTAAAATAGAGTTAAAGATAAGTATAATGTATTTAATTGTATCGATATATATATTAAAAACTCTAATAAGCTAAAATTGATTTACAAAACTTTCATTTTATATAATATATTGTAAGTATCTTCAAAACTTTTTCTTATTTAAATCAATTAAATATTAGCAATAAATATATTAATTAATTTTTAGTTAAAATTTTATTTAAAGTTTTCTCAAATACATAAATTAATAAGTTGAAGCTTAATTTTTAATTGGTGAAAAGTAGCTTAACTAGTAATTAGGTTCATTATTGCAATGAAAAAAAAGTTGAAATCACTTTTTTTTGTTGTAAATTTGTTTTGATTGGCTAAAATTTATTAATCACATTTTGCAATATAAATTTTTAACAAAATTATAGCTTTAATTAATTATAGTACTTATGCATGGTTTCAATAGCTAGCTAATCTTATTGCAAGCTATTCTTAGTTTCTAAGTTTAGTGATTATTTATAGTCTACAGTATAAACAAATTATACTATAAGCTATTACTTCTCACTTGGCTTATTATTCATATTAGTTTGTATAACTATTATTTGCTAAAAATATATCTGAATTATACAGATTTGAAGAGTAAAATACTCTATTTCAGTATTTTTAATATCTATTCTGATATTATATATTATTAGAGTAAGCATTAGAATTATAGCAGATTGGTTTAATATTTTTAGAGGTATTTTATACTTTTTTTTTTTTTTTTTTTTTAAGAGAGGTCTTTCCTCTATTCCTTTATTTCAAAATATATAATTGAATACAATT